TATTTTCTCTGTGCAGAAAAACTTTTCTGTGTAGCAACAAAAGAAGGTCTGAAGTTAAATGGTGCAAATGTGGACTTGAAAGGAAGGAAGGCTGGCAGGTAGGAACCAGGAACAGAACTGATTATTAAGTGATTTACCAGAAATAACTTGCCCCTTCATTGTCCCTGTGTTTCAGCCCTGTGCTGTCTCCTGGAACAGACCACCCTACCACACAGACAGTGAGACAGTCTCTGTCTCACACACAGAGAATTTTGAGTAATTCTCCTCCACATCCAAAATACCAGCTCTCCAGATGAAGGGTATTTCTTGCACACTCCATATTACATGTGCTAAATACTTTATTGTACCAGATACAACCTCTAAACATTTACAGTAAGTGCACTTAATAGCAAAATTTTTTGCCAAACCTCATTGGCTCTCTCCATACTTGAGTTATAAACATGGTTTTGTTTAAACAGGAAAACAAATGAACAAATTCCTGAGTCTCCCACATGTACTTCTGGTTATCAGAAGTTTATCACAGGCAAACGGGAACATTTCATCGAGGCTCTTGTAAAAATGCTGGCAGCTTATCATCAGGTTGCATTTCCATATATCACAGAAGACAGCAGTGTAGTTTAATACCCTTGTTTGTGTGTGTTTTTTGTTTTTTTTTTTTTTTTTCCCTTGGGTTTGTGGTGGTTTTGTTTGTTTGTTTGTTTTTATATCGACCTCTTTTCTCCTTGATAGACTTAGAAAACTGGAGTTGGATGAATGACTTCTTGGAAAATCCTCTAAGAAAATAAAATGACAGGAAAGAAAAAGGCACTTTTTCTTGAGGTGGCATGGCTGAACAGGTGTGAGAATTAATACTCTTTAAGCTATCTGTCTATTGGAAGTGGCGTTTCCAATCAAACATTAAAGCCTGGGCAATTCAGCTCAATAAATGAGATTGCATTTGCAAAGCCCTTCCATACAGACGTTAGCGTATAGCACAGACTGACTGCTAATGGCAAGAACTGATTGGAAAGGACATGATAGGTAGACTTACAATTGCAAATTGCTCAACAGGAAAGCCCTTAAAAAGACCAGAAGGGAAAAGCCTGTATTTAGCTTATATTATTTCTGCAGCAAGTGGAAAAGAGCTAGTCCACTAAGGCTGACCTCTGCGAGCTCCATCCGGTCTCACCATCAGAAGGGACCCAAAGGAATAACAAGTACAATGGGGATGGGGATGGGGGGCAATGCCTCAGCAAGGGTAGACACAATGCCCTAGAGAAACACCTTTGCCAGCTTTGCTTTGCATCACGTTGATTCACAGTGATTGAAAGGTAAACTATGGGTGTTTGCATCAAAACCTCTCCATCTGGTGATGTCCTCTTTAATCCTACCCAGGGAGAACAATCTGCTGGGTGGGCTTTTATTTCTTTCACAGAAAAAGCAGTGTGGTTTTAGTCCGTGGACACCTGGTGCAGTAGAAACAGACAGAGCCGGTGGTGGCAGTGTGGCAGAGAGGAACCCCAGCCGGTTTTACAGTAGTGAAGCCAGGTATCTGGTGGCATACTTCCAGTGCAACGCAGAGGTTAGAAAAAACTACGAAATCTGCTTCAGAAGCACAGCCCACTTGAGTTTCCCATGACAGATTGTGCCTGGGACCCAGACTAGCCGTGGCCAACCCCTCCTGACCACCACAGAGATACAGATCAGAAGACATACTCTTCGGAGTGGCTTGAAAAGTTTCGTCTCAGTGCAATGCCATACTGGGAGAAATTTATGCTGATATTGAAAAGTTAATTTGGAGGGGAAGCAGAACTAAGATATTCAACATAAAAACATGTCCTTTCCCCTTTGACACCCAAGTTACCCAGTCTTATTTTGCACCATGAACATAGCATGCCTACCCTTTTTTAACCAAGCAACCTACCCCAAGCCTTCACTGCCAGCTTGCTTAAGCAGTGTCACAGCTGTGACTAGTTGGGAAAGAGAGAATTAAGACAACAATGGTGTCTTGAGGCATCTATTTAAAAAACACTGTTACTGGTGCAACATGGACAGACTGGTGTGCTTGGTTTTAGGAATCACTGAAAAAAACTCTTAACTGGTCTGTCCTTCTTGTACCAGCTATCTGCCTAGCTTTGAGCATCCCAGTTAGCAACCAGCCTGAAGCTACCAAAAGCTCTGAGAACATGGAGCAAAAAAGGGGTTGACAAGAAATGCAATGTGTGTCAAACACAGAATATATTTTCAATTTCTCATGTAAATACTGTGACTAACAGCTCTGTGGACCAATGAGTCACCCAGACTCTCTAAATGTGATAGCAACAGGGAATTAAAATTCTATTTAATAATCCTTCATTCAAAGGAAATATTTTCAATTATTTTTCAGACTTGTGCTGCCACTGAAAAAATGAAGTAGGAAAACCACATTTTTTTTTTGAGCTGCAAATGACTTCATCAACCATATTTCTTTTAATACACAACTCCCGACCACTACAATTGCTGTAACAAACACCATTACATTTGAACTTCAAGAGGATTTACTTGGACTAGAGGCAGCCAGCAACAGAAGAATTTTAATGACTGTGGGAGGATTGTTGGTATTTTAAGAAGTCTTCTAAAACCTTTTGAAGGATTTGAGATAAGTAAAAATAAGCGGAGCAATTTTTTCCCTAAGTACTTTGCACCATGTTTTCACATAGCAGAAGTGAGTTCTGTAACTGCACAATGAAGTTGGAAAATCTGAACAGAGAAGCAAAAGTTAAAAAAAATCTGAGGCGAAACCAAGTGGCATGAGAACCACTCTAAAGAAGACAGAAAATGAACCCTTCCATTCCAAGTTCTGGTTTTTATTCTCTTTCCTCACAGCAGCTTTAAGTTCATTAGCTTGCAAAGAAACACTCAATCCACAGATCAGATTTCTCAAGGATATAGGAAGATCATGTCAACAAAACAAAGCACTAATTAAATTTTTAACCAGCAGCCACATGCTCAGTCAGTTCCTCTAATGGAACTGTACAAGCAATGTTTGCATCCTGTTGCCTTTGATCTAAAGCATTGCACTTCACTTTTTAGAAGAAAAAGCCATCTGCTGCCAGAAGTGCTGCCAGATTAATCTACCCAACGACTGAAATTTAACTGCTGTTAAGAGTTCAAAAGGTCCAGCTTCTTGAATTGTTGAGTGCCTCCTTGGAGAAGGGCTGATCGATATACCTGGGCACCAACTGCCATCTGTCCAAATTACAATGAGAACAGAAAAGCCTCCTTGGGCATCCGTCTTCACAAGAGGCCTTTGGACCCACCTGCATGTCACGAATGATCACACTCCTGGTTTAAAGTTATTCACCCATGGCTTCTCCAAAACCACCACACTTTCAACACGGTAAACTAGGGTGAAGGATTTACTGCTCTTTCTTAACATCATCCTCCCACCCTATCCAGGAGAGATTTAATAAAGACCATGCAAACAGCAGTAAAAAGGGCAAATCTCCCCAAAATAATGTGTCTAGGATGTCCTTCTTTTGTGGGGAAGCTGGGGACAGGAAAAAGTGCTCTCCCTGGATCCAGGGAAGAAAGCAACTCCAAGCACTCTTGAGAAAAGAAATTGGTTTTCAGTCAGATGTCCCCTGTCTTTGGACACACTCTTATCCTCTCCTTTCTTCTGCTTACCTGCACTAGCTCAAACATCACGCAGGCACTAAGAAAAATTTATGAGTGGCTTAGCAAGCAGATACTTTTAAATGAAAAGTTCATACAGCCTCTTCTTCTCTTTCTCAGTACAGTGATGTGGATAAAGAACAAATCAACCTTTGCATTCACTTGCGCTCAAACCCAGTCAGAACCCAGAGCTGTTTTGTCCAAAGTAAGTGAGACATTCAATACCTTGGTCAACTGGCAGATAATGTTGCAGTTATACTCTCTGCCCACTCCATCTTCCACAGTGTCCACACAAATTTGGCTTGACAGTACAGTGAATTTCAGTTTTACCGAAAGCAGTGGCAAAACTTTCACTTTATTCATTGGAGACAGGTTTTGCTCACTTGCTGCTTTTCCCTCCCTCAGCAAGGGACTGCCATTTCCAAGCAATTTTGTGCTTGGAAGCATAAAATCTAAGCATCTCTTCCAAGCAAGAGATGCTAAAAATTCTGGTTTTTGCTGGGTTGACCCTCTCCCCTCCATTTTTTGTCTGCTCAAATGGGAGAACGTTGTCCCTTATGTTACATTCCAGCACAGTACATTGAAGAATACACTTCTGATGTTTTTGTTTTGTTTTTGTTTGGTTGGTTGTTTTGTTTGCTTGTTTGTTTGTTTTGTTATAGAGGCAAATTATAGTGAGGAAAATGGACCCAGGAATTTACTGTTGATGTATTTTACATTGTTAGAAGAACACACAGTTTCCCAGAGAAAGGTCCCAAGTTTTTTATCAGCAAGATCTCGTCTTTGCTCACATTTACCCCTGACAAGGAGTTTTGATTAATGTCATTGATTCTTGGTAACCGAGATTCATGAGTGGCATTTCTCTTGGAAACAGCCATATATGAAAAAATCCATCTATTAGCTTAGCTATTCATAACAATGTATGTGTGTGGCTATTATATGTACCACAGTCTAGTCATTTGCAATAGACAACTACCTATGTTGTCTTGACTTTATCAAATAAAATTGTATCTGGGTCCTTAGCAGTCCACAGTTTTTGCAATGAAGGGTACATCATTTAAAAGATACCCTACAAATATTTCTCAGTGCAAAAATGCAGAAGGTGTTTTGTTTTCTTTTTTGTTACAAGAAAGGTTCCATAAAACCGTATACTTTTTTCCACATTAAAAGTCCTTTTGCTTTCTACTGTGAGCAAGAAAAGCATTCCAATACCATAAACTTTTTTTTTTCCAAATCTACTAACCTGACTGTAGCCCTTGAAGAGCCTTAGGGATGTGTCCTGCTTTAAGAACTTGTCCATGAAAAACTTGGGACCCCTCACATGTTACATATTTCATACCGCACTTCAAAGAAGAACATTAAATACCTTTTGACTAAAGTACTGTTTATTTCATAATCTAAACAAACACTGGAATACAGTCTATGCTTTTCTACTTTCCTGCAGACTTTACAACGAGCTTTTTTTGTTCCCCCCATAATTAAAACAATCTGCATACACACAGAACATGCATGCTTTCTAATACCATTAATGAAGGTAAGAAGAGTCAGTTTCCATCATCTTCCTGCTGCCTGTATTAGAAAAAAATACTTTTGTTTTTACTGTAGTTATGGCAGTGTGGCTAAGGATACAAAGACTAGAGCACAGTTTTATTCCCTGCACAGAAAATGTTCATCACAAGCATGCTGATGGTGATAAATATTACATGTCTATTAAATGATAGGCTTACTTTTATCCCCTTTACTCCCTTTTTAAAAAGACTAAGTGGCTACATGTAAATGCAGTGAAGCAGGTATAAGCTTAATTAATCAGAGCTGATTCAGACTGGCACCAAGATGCAGTGAAGTCCGACAAAGTCTCAATGAGGCTTTCCATGGGCTATCGATGACCACCACAAGGCATCTGCCTTCTACTTTTTTAAAGTAGAAATCAAAGGCCTTGCAGCACAACCAGTCTTGCAGACAGGGCAGAGTGTGCCAGTGTGCCAGGCTCCCTGGAAAAGAAGAACTTGTAGTCCATTTTAGTGTTTGAGAAAACTTTGTGAGTGAGTTACCTTCCCCAGGGCCGTGCACCCACCCCAATCTGCGGCATAGCCTGCTGCTCTTTGTCGGCCACACAGCTAGCTGCTGTGTTACACCACTGAGTGGTCGTTGCTGTGGACGCCAGCCAAGATGGTGTGGTTGAGAGATGATGCCGACCGGTCCGAGCCTTCGGTGGGGCCGTTGGCACTCTCGCTGCGCTGGCAGCAGAGGATCTGTTTGAATGTTGCGCTCATCTCCTTGTCCCGGTAAGAGTAGATGATGGGGTTCATGGCGGAGTTGAACTCCGCCAGGAGCAGGAAGAATTTTTCATAGGCCAGGACGTTGCACTGGGGACAGCAGACATCGAGGAGCAGCAAGACTAATCCTGGGGTCCAGCAGACTATGAAAGCACCTAGGAAGAGAAAGAGTGGACAAAACACAACAAAACCCACGTATATACTAATGTGCCTTTACGTGTCAAAACACTATGAGAACCATCCAACTGGAACCAGCAACGGTTAATGTTCTCTTTCAAGAGTATCGTTCCCACACTATTTCTTCACTGACCTGATGAGGAAGCCTTTGAAAGATCTGTAAATGGTTATGGGCAGCACATCAAAAGAGCAAGGCATTCCGCTCCCCACCACGCGACCCACTGCCCCCCCCCAAAGTCCGTTTGGCAAATACATTTGCATTTAAAGTTGATAATGAAGAACATTTTTTCCCTTCAGTTAGAGACCTCTGACTAATCAATCTCTTGATCAGGAGAAACAATGCTGCAATTTACTTCTCAAACTAATAACAACAAAGAAAACCTTTCTGTGAGTGCTGTGACTGAAGCATCAGTAATAGAAAAAGAGTGGTGCAGGCAGCGATTCTCAAGAAAAAGAAAGCCTGGGTCTTGTTAATCCATTTCAGCCCCATTATGTAATGGAAAGTCCTAAACACACATCGTTCTTGCACTGAAATGCCATCCTTCAACAGATCTATTTCTTTTCTTAGGGCTCTATTCAATAGAAATTCAGAGGCTCCTCAGGCTTCAATAGTGTAAATGCCAAAGAGCCTTACCCTGATTAAAATGCTTCCCCCTCCTTTCTCTGCTTTGCAAAGCTCTGAAGGAAATAAAGCCCAGAACAAAATTAAGAGTTCAATGCAGAAAGGAAATAAAACACCTTGCACTTTTTTGGGAGTACTGGGTTAAACGAAGATGTTAACTCTTTGCAAGGTTAAAGAGGTTTTAAATATAAGCATCACTGGGGAAGCCCTTACACACCAATCACGTCAGAAAGAAGACAGTGCTCCTGAGATTTTCCAGGCTGAAATGCTTGACTGAGATGGAAACCAAGGTCTTATCAGCAGCAGACAGGCTTAACGCAGGCAGCAGCAATAAGGGCTTTCCAGCACTAACCAGTAAGTGCCGTTTTCAGACAGGTTCTCCTGTCACTGTGGTATTTATTTGTTAACATACTGCCTCTGTTTCTTCTGCAGTGATGCTCTCTGCAGCTCTAGCAGCTGACTACAGCCAGTTTCTGCAGCCATACTTATACACTTTTTGCCATAGCTATTTGCCAGCTATTTCCAGCTTGGGCAGTGGTGGCTGCAAGCTGTGCAGACTGGCTGCAAGCTGTGCAGACCCCTTTCTGTTAGGATACCAAACCCAACTAGATGGAAGAGAAGAACGTTTTCCAAAGGGCTTTGCAAACATCCAGGGTGTGCTGGACTACAGACACTGGTTGCCAACCAGGCAACCACACACAGGCTTTCTACATACCAAAAAGCATCCCTAAATTCAGCTCACTTGCAACTGATGGTGCCACAGTGCCACTCAATGCCTATTACTTTGCCAACCAACAAAGATCGCAAAGGGAAAGAAGCTAGGAGGCAAACTGCCAGCTGCCAGTACAAAGCACCCATGTCTTTGGTTGAATGATCTTGTGAGGGGCTGGCAGCAATTTTACAGCATAGGGATGAAACTCTCCCACGCCGAGATGGCATCAAACATATGAATTCACTTGCCTGCAACTCTTTTGCATTCCAGTAGTCCTAGGAAAGAGTACTTGAAACCCATGAAAGGACTACGGTCTTTTGTCCCTTGCAAGTACCTGTTCCCAAAAAAGTAGAAAACTCCATCTCTTTATTTGCAGGATTGTCTGCATTGATACAGAGGCTGCCCTCTGCATGGAGCAGCTCTGCTGAGCTGGTTTCTGCAGAAACAAAGTCAATCTTTCAAATTCAACCACTCACTGCTAAAACTGTGCATGTTGTTTTCAACCTCCTAGCTAGTAAGGCAATGGTAGACTTTGTTCTATCTTGAGCATATATTTTCTTCATTACAGGCTGCCTCAGGAGAACATCAGAGACAGGAACTTTGCAAGTCATGGGATCTACAGTCAAGGACAAAAGACAATGACAGCATCCTCACCAAGCCTGTAGCAGAGAAGTCTAATGTGGGAACAATGGAGCTGACAGGAAAGCTCTTGCAACTTTGTTCGAAGTCACAATTGAAAGCTTCCAAATTTCCAACACTTTTTTTTTTTTTTCTTTTTCAAATCTGTTGTTGAGAAACTAAATATGCCGAACAGAACATTCTGTTGCTATCACGTCTAGGTATGTTAAAAGCAGCAACAACAAGAAGCAGTATGGTAAGGTAGGTAGGCATTTGCCCCTGTGAAAGCCACAAAGCCTTTGACAAAAGTCCACATGCAGCCCAGTGCACCGAACGCTGGTCTCAGGTACAGTTTCTGAGCCTCTCTGGGCTCCTCAGTATCTCAGATAGATCCAATAATCTATATGCTGAGGCTTGACATGGTTGCACTCAAGACAAAGTGGACCGAGGTTGAGCAACCAATTAAGTGCTCTGTGCAGCTCATGCTACACTGAAAAAAGATAAAAACAAAGGGTTGCCTTCCCACTCAGCTCTGGAAGAGATGGGAAGTCATTATTCTGCAAGTTGTCACTGTGCTGTAGATGGCAGGTCTGGAGCTGGGTAAACGACGTGCTGGGCAGCCAGGGTGTCGAGAGGAGAAGAAACTCACACTGCCCAGCTCCAGACCTGCTTGGGCAGTGTGGGCTTTCCGATGCCCTGGCCCCCAGCCGCAGACCAGGCTGACTTTCCAACCTCTTTCCTACATGTCAAAGCAGTGGCAGCAGGGAAACATACAGCATCCAGGAAAGCACCTCTGTGCAAATAGGGCTATGTTCAAACTTCTAAACAGAGGGCTCATTTGTTACTGGGAAGTAAAAGCCACTGAAGCCAGCCCCATTCAGTGTAGTGGGTTTTGTTTTACTTTAGCCCTAGCATCTTCCTAGCAAAACTTCCCACCATGCTAATGGCTCCTGCAGCTTATTACGTTAAATGCTTGCAAATGGTGGCACAAACAATGCCTCGGGTTTTCTCACTTGCTATTTAACTGTCAGTACCCTAGAAAAGACTGGAAAGCATCATTGAGGGTAAGGGCATGTTTGAGTTAGGTATAAGCAATGTCAGGCTCTTATTACTTCAGCTTTAGGAAACATCATCTGTTAAACATGCAATTCTTTCCCTAGAAGGAAAAAAACCCTTGAAATCTATTTTTTTTACCTCTTACTTGGAATATTTGTCAAAGTAAGGTGACACTAAGCTAAAAGTAAGGTTAAATTCTTCCTTTTTCCAGAAATCTGTTGTACACTGATTTCACCAAGAATCAAGATCTAAAAATATCATGTCTAATAAAATAATGAGATCCAAAATCTTCCTGCTGCCATATACTGAAAAGTCTTAAGCACACACCAAAATCTTTATGTATTTTTCTGCTCAGGAACAGAACTGAGTGCAGCCCAAAGCACAGTGTGAGTAATTTCCAAGTATATCTTAACATTCTACAAACTTGGTCAAACCCACATTACAATGACGTAGAAAGTAGATCTATTGCATTCAGTGAATCAAATCTGCTCATCTTTATGGATATGTCATTGTCATGCCATGGTACCAGGAAAACTGAACATGCATGAATAAAATTGCAGATGGTATGTCCTTGGGTGGCTGAAAAGCACTGTTGCCTGGACAGATAGCACCTTGGGTTGACACCTCCAACCCTGGCAATCCTCAGAGGCACTGGCACCGCATGAAGCTGATGGAACTGTTCAATTGTGGCAGGAGGAACATCCCTACGGTGCATGGCCAAGGTCTGTCCTGTGGGTCTGGCAACAGAGGGTGGGGTGAGGAAGAAATGCCCGTCAGGTTGAGAGGTGAATGGCTAGCCATGAGACAGGAAAGCTTGAGGGAACCAGAGAAATGGCACTGCATCTTTTAAAAAGATTTAAGGAGACAAGAGGGGAAGGGTCCCTATAGACTGAGAAGCACGTTTTACAGCAGGAAATCTGAGTTACAACACAGCAGTTATGACACTAATCTCATTTTCCCTTGCTGTGTGATACCTCTCACCCAGGGCTGAAATTTCAGTTCCTTGTGCATATTCTGTCTTGTTGTACTGCGGCAGAAGTCCACTGGGGTCTTTCCTACGACCACGGTATGGCTACATCACATCTGTCTTGAACCCTTGTCTGGTGCACCAGTGTGGATTGTATTTCCATGGTAACTGGATGCTTGGAAACTCCTGGGTAAGCGTGGCATGGCCTCACAGCAAGATTTGATTGCAAGAGAGTAAAAACTGTTGTGGGCAGTAGGCATACAAAACCAACCATGATAAATCACACAAAAATGAGTAACTAGAAAAACAAAAGGGAAAACAACTCCAAAAACCAGCAGCAGAAAAGAAACAAACTACAGGAGAATAAACACTGGAGAACTAGTCACTCATTACTAGGATACCAGACTGGATGACTACTCATGAAACTTCTCAGATTAGTAGGTGAAGCATTTCCTAAGCAGCATTTTTTTTTTTTCCTTTTGCCTTGGTCAGCGTGTCTGCTTTTATTCCATTAATGTTTATTTTCTTCTAACTCATAACAGCAAAATAAACGAAGTGCTTCTGCTCCTGCCAAGTCACACACCACCATCCTTCAGAGGCTCCGGTGGGATGCAGCTCTTGTCAATGCACACCTATTCTGAAATACCCCTTTTCTCCTGCTTAACCACATTGTGTCCCTTTTGTGTGCCCTCTGCCACCCACCTTGCATGTTGACCCTGACTTTACTGATTTCTGGCATGGCCTCACACTCACCCTGCAAATTCCTCATATGAAGTCTGTATAGAGGGGAAAAATATGGAAAAGGCCTCTTTTAGGGAGTGAAAGGAGAAAAGGGGGCAAAAAGGTCTCACTTGTGTTTGCAGTTTTGTTAAGCTTACAGAAACAGGATAAGGCACTACCATATCAAAGACACAAAAGACCTACTCCAGCTGAACTGCAGGGACTTTTACTTTCTGCTGCTGTTGCCCACCTACCCTTGTCCACCCACTGTTCTCTCCAAATC